GTGAGCAAGTCCCCGGCAACGTGAGCTGAGGGCAGGCAAAGGCTGCACACACCTTTTAGGAGAGGGACGCAACTGACGGCTGCAACGTGGGCACAAGGTTTCTTCTTGGGAGTGCGACGTTCTCCCGTATCTGGCACGGTCTCTTCCAAAGGAGCATCTTTGTCTTCCACATCGTCTTTTGACGTTTCTAGCACGGGGCCAGAATCTTCTCCCTCCCTGGGCTCAGTTTCTTTCGGGGAGATAATTTCAGAAGGCTGGGATGGGGTGACATCGGTAACTTCTTCACCTCCTAATGGCTCTCCCCTCTCCTCTTGGTCTGCTTTCTGGGATTCAGTTTCAACAAGAAGCGCCTCTCCTGAGATGTCTCTGAGGACTTCTTTGGACTTTTTCTCTCCAAAGGTAGATTCTTCAAGAGTTTCCTTGGCTGTTGCTGGACACGAGCCTATTTCAGGTCCTGGTGAACCGTGCTGATTCACCAGGGGACGCAAATCCTTTGCAGAAGTTTCATCAATATCACGGTCCTCATCTCTCTCCTGCCCACCGGTGTCTTCTTTTATTGGGGCTCTGGTATATGAAGGAGATTGCCCATCTCGAACAAGGGAGTCATCTGTGCCACCTGCTCCTGCCAACCCCTCAGCACTCACGCCAGGACCCAGCTCTGTTCCCAGCACTGGATCCCCGCCACTGCCTTCTCTGCCTCGACGTTCCCACAACTCATCGTCATCTTCAGGTGCTCGGGAGTTTTGGTACATGTCCAGGGGTATCGGGATGGTGACCTCGATTCGGATGGGAGCTGCTGGCGGAGCCTTTGCTTCGTGTGGCAGAAGAGGCTGCTGAAGAACCCCGGCTACCTGCTTTGTGGGCTGGCTTTCTCTTTTTACTGCATCTCCCACATGCTCCTGAGGGCCAGGCTGCAGCTTTGGAGAGCTGGGCTCCCCTGGAGTTGAAGACGCAGGGTACAAAGCACGGGCAAACAATTAACAGAGGCATGTCAGATAGCAGTCAGTTGTGTAATGCTGAAGAGAGACTTGGGATTTCTACTATCAATCTAGAGCAAGAAAGCAAGTCCCACGCTGCCCCACTGAACAGACAACTCTACAGTCGCTTCTGCATTCAAAGAAACTCTGATCCCCACAGGAATTAGGAATGGTGACAGCCACAGCACGTGGGAGAGCAGATTCCTCCCTGGACGCGGCCTCGGAGGCAGCTCAGGGATCCAAACCCACACCTGCCACAGCCGCGCTGTACGAGCTGGTTTATCTACAGAGGTTTTCAGAAGCTGTGACCAAACCCATCTGTTAATCTACCAGCACCACTGGACCATCAGCTTGCTGGGTAGTGACCATTTCTTCTTGCCTCAAGGGCCTGAACAAAACTGGCCAGACAACCTCCCCTCCTCTTACAAAATCCCTACGGTCCTGCCCTGCCCTGCAGGAGATGTTCCTGCAGACATAGCACCAGTTACAACCACCTTGGCGTTGTTCTCCCGATCATTTCTGTCACTGATGAGCGCTCCCATGTCTCCTCTCCTTCCGCCGTGTATGTCAGCAGGACACAGCCTCAGCGGAAAGGACTGCAAGTAAAAACGTGGCAGTACCCACGGGCCACAGCGATTTTGGGCAGTGCACCCACTCGGGCTAACCGGAGCTCCAGCGCTGCTGCCACCACTTGGGCAGAGTATAAAGTGTGACATTTAAAACCCAAAACTTAAGGTCATAGGGACACATTCTTCTTCTATTTTTATTTTGGGCGGTAGGGGCAAAAGAGAGAATTCTGCTCCATCACACATTTACAATTTCACCCAACAATTGCTGCGTTAAGTCGTATGTTCTGGCTGAGCTGGAGCTTTTCTGTTAGAAATTCGTTTGACGGAAGCAAAGACGCATTGAGCAACGGAGAATTCACCCTGAACAGAGATAAATTGCTTTAAAGTCAACTGCCCTAGTAAGACTGTGCATCTTGTATTACGAATTGGTCCAGCTCCCAATACTCTTCAGCCTTTTTGAGCACAGATCGGGTAAAAACTAAAGAGCCTAGATCAGAGCACTTCAGTATCGAGATTTCGATTGTTGCTTTGTTAGATTAACAAGATTAAAACAAGAAAAGTTGTCAAGACTGACTCGGTCTTTTATCAATGTTCTCCCCATTTTAAGAGAATATAGCAGTTCAGTGAAACTACCATACAAAGACCTCTAAAATCGTGGTTTGAGAGAAATCTTGAACTGACACCTTTTAGCAGGTACTAAGTTTGAAAAGTGGCATCAAGAAACACAAAGAGAACCATTAAAAGGAAGAGGAAGCAGCAAGTTATTACAAGTCCACTTTCACAGAAGTAAGAATTTACATAAGAATCTAAAAATGTTGTATATAGGTTATATCAGAGCTCCAGTGAGCTGTATGTCCCCATATCTGACAGCTGAAAGATCCCAGGACAGTACAGAAAGGTCTGACTAAAAATCTGGTGAGAAACAGTAGCTAGAACCGGACTGAATAAGGCAGACAAAAGAGAGAACTTCACCTCCCTCCTGCTAATACTCCTGATTTCTTTTTTGTAGTGGTGCCGCTATTTTAAATACAGAAATGCCGCTAGTCCAAGAACCACTGGCCAGGCAAGTAAGGGTTTTATTTTAATTGCAGGGAGCAGACTGCACGTAACTGTGCTCATCTGCGTGTGGAAAGCAAAGACGGCCTGAATTCTGCCCTGAGCAGAGAAGGCAAAGACCTTTAATTCTTTAAAAGACCTGGATGTCTGTAATTGCACTAATGCAGCCACGAGGAGGAAAGACACCGCCCAAGGAACCAGAGGAATTTGTGACATCTACTGTGCAGAAAACCATCTTTGGAAATGGGCTTTAATTAAGATTCTAAAGAGTGCGCCCAATTAGCGCTGCGCTGTGTTAGTGCCAGCGAGGCAGCAGTATCGAAGTGAGTCTGAACCCGTGAGTCTGCCCCACTGGGCACAGAATTAAGCTCACGTTGGGTGCTTTGGGAAAATCCCATCCTGAAGTTTTCCATCAAGTCTGAACAGCGCAGAGTCAAGAGAGACTTTCCAGATAGCCAAGAGGTCCCTGGATAATTTCTTGGCTCATCTGAGCAGACGCACAACTAATGCTCTAGAAACACTCGCTGCCCACTGTGCCTGGCTTTGTCATCACGTTCCCTCGGACCGGGATGAGAAAAAAACACCCTTAATGGTGAGGTCAGGGCATGAGTGAGTAGGTTTGAGACCTGTTTGATGTCAGAAAGAGACACAGTGATCAGAGTTATACAATTCACTTATTTCACGTGCGACACGCAGGGCCCAAAACTGACTCCGTTCAAGGCTGAGTCGCTCCTCCTGGCTAAACGCACCATCCCGGCTCTGCTTATCACTTTTTCTAGCCTGGAGGATGCCCTGTTTTGCAACTGGACAAACAAGCACCAGGGTTTCAGCCACCTGAGAGAGAATTTCAGTGCATGGAAAGCTGCAGCTCCTCGAAATGAGTATGTTGGAACATTCAAAGCCTGTATGACCCTCCCCTGCAGGAACGGGGAGAACCACGGCACTGCTCGGCGCAGAGCCTTTGCATTACAGAAGAAAATCCCCAAGCTGGTAGTGACCCCCATCACGGGTGGGCAGCAATAACCGGAGCCTGACGAGAGACGATTCACTAACCTTGAGCAGCATCTCCTGCAGCGTGGTCCTCCAGGTTGGGGGTGGCTCCTACGCCCGCTTCTTCGGCTGGTTCCAGTTCAGAGACAGTACGGGAAAAACAGGATCAAAAGAAGAATTAAGTTTAAGCGAGTGGCTGGAGAGTTTATTTACCTCCCTGCTGACTGTGCCCATCAGCAAGGCGGTATGAGAAAGGCAGTTAAGCCACGCCAGCGACGGATCTGGGCAGATCTGTTCACCTGGGCTGTACCAGGCTGGAGGACGGTTTCACCACCTCGCGCATCCTGGGTGGCAGGTTAGTTAGGACACGCTCTTTCAGGCAGAGGTGCACAGAACAGGCTGTTAAGGAGTAGGGCAACTTGGGGATTTCTATCCCCGCTGAACATTTACATTGCTGGCAGTGCTCACATCAACGCCTCTTACCCGAGCCCTACCTTCCTGGAGTCTGGTACCTGGCTTACTGCAAGGAATTCTGCTATTTGTTACCAGTAAATCTGAGTCTGATACAAATCTGACACTTCAGAAACACTGGTATGTTAGAGAAGCATAATTTTCTTCACAGCAATAATCATTTGTCTTTATCAGAATTTTTTTCAATTTATTATGTGACCGCTTTCAAACCAGCTTAACCAATTACATTTGTACGTCTCGGTTTTACAGTTGAACTAGGATTTTGGTTGTTTTCCCCATTTTTTTTTTTTTTCAAAGAGTTCAGGACACATTGCTTCTTCCTGGCTGCCTGGTACGGCCAGATCCTGAACCAGAGACTGCACACCCTTGGTAGCAGGCGAGCCACTCGGCGCTTCAGCCCAGGGCTCCACCACCAGCCTTGGGGACTGGATGCAGGACAGACACTTCGGTTGCCCGAGGGAGCGCGCTGTGTGCTTGTTTCAGTGTTTGGTAGAAGCTCACTTCCACCCTCCTCAGCTCCTGCCTGATGCTTCCAGGAAAACGCAGCAGCTACTGCACAGGGGCCACATCCTCATTTTTCACACACAGACCTGACTCTCCCAGGAGCTCCTGCCCTCTTGTGCACACCCAGCACCGCCATAGCTCCCTCCCTTCTGCCTCTGCAAGACCTCCCTGGCAAACCAGGCCCAGGTGAAGCGATTCCCCACAGAGCATTCAGGCTGAATTAGCCATTTGGCTTCCTCTGTGTTATCCCTAAACCGCGCCGACAGCCACAGAAGTGCTGCAGTGGCCTGGTTTTCACCTGCCGCTTCAAAGACAACCGCAGGGGCTGGGCTGAGCGAGAGCACCAGCGAGACAAGCAGCCAGGTCCTCGCCAGCAAAGCGAGGCCGCTGGCAAAGCGAGGCTGCTGGCAGAGGGGCAGGGATGACCGGGATCGGCAGGTAAAGTGCTCAGCCTGGAGATGGGAGAGGCGAAAGCCACCACAGAGACACCAGGCTGAAAGATTGTCAGATGCGGAGCTGGGAAAAGAGAGAAGAAAAGGCTGCAGGTTTTCCCCAGGATGGGGAAAGCAAGAGGACAGTTGTAAGCAAGGAATTACTTCTGCAGGCCGTGGAGAAGAAAAGCAGCACGCATCAGGAGCAAAGCATGCCTGCGAGAGGTTTTTGCGGTGTTATTTTTAAGCACTGACCAGTCCAGCTCCCTGCTCTGTCTGCATCAAGAGATGAAACTGCACCTTGGTCTCCCTCACCTGTGGTTCCTTCTGGGATCTCCCCGTGCTGTTCGACACCACCCTGATCCTCGTGGTCTCCTTCCTCCACTAAAGGTGCTGTGGCATCTGAAAAACAACGCAGCTTTCACATAGCCGGTGAGTGGCAAAACCCTGCGGAGGCCAGGACGTGCCTGAAGAACTCAGGAAAGCGCCCGACTCCCTTCCTTGAGCCAGTGCTTGTGGAGGGAGACAACCAAGCTCGACAGAGCAAAGCCAATATTGTGAGGACACCCTGAGCTGGGCCCTCTGCTACACAAACCACACATCTCCAGCATGCTCCTTACGCAGCTGAAGGCTTTACCATGAACACTGCCTGAAAATGCACAGCTAAATTCAGCCACTGGCGCTATCTGCATGGGGACATCGCCGGTCTGGAGCAGGGGAGAGCATCTCCCACTAGACACCCTCACAAACCACCCCAGCACAACGTCCGCGTCGCGCTCTGGGCAGCTCTGAGGCAGACAGATACCTGGCTCTGTCTACCAGGAGGACGTCTGCTCATCATGGCAGTCCCGATCCAACTGGAAAGAGGGACGATATGCCCCTCTGCACCAGCCAGGTTTTACGTACTGATCTCTTGAGCCACGTGCACACAACAGAGCTGCTTCACAGACGATCCCTCGGCCTCACGCCTCCAGCGGGACAGGACTGGAACAGGTCAGCATCTCTGTTTATCTTTCTTTTAAAGAAATTTTGCAAACTAGTGCCTTTACCTGAGGTCTCCAACTGGCAGGTACTTGGGATTAAAACAGCCAGAGGAACACAAAAAATACAGTTCATTCGAAGAGAGAACAGGTCTCCAAACTGCTTTGGAATTAGATTCTTTCTACAAATGTGGCGTTCAGATAACACCCTGGAGCAGCACAGACATGCCCCGAGTCCTACCGACACGACCTTTACACCAGCACAAAGTTTATTTTACGTATAGACTCTGCCCACCTCATTACTCCAGCATGAATCACCCTGTCCTAATGAACATGTAAATACAGAGGGGGCAATAAAAAAAGAGCTACAAGGTACAGCTAATTCTGAAAGGGAACACAGTGACCAGAACGTGCTGTCAGTGTCTTGGGGGAACGCAATGACACAAACCTCTGGCCCTGGGAGCACCCAACACGGGACCGTTCCCGGCTGAACTTGGTGGTCACTGTGTAAAAAGTCTTCAGGAAACAAAACCACCAACAACTTCCTGAACTGTAATAAACACTTGACCTTCTCTTGCCTTCTAATCTGCTCTCCATCTTATTATTTCAGTCTGCAGAGCGGCAAACATCCCACGTGATGAGACTAATGAAGAGCATTTGTCCAAGATGCTCCTCCTGAGAAACCCCACCAGAACACGGCCCGGCGAGTCTTTCGGCAAGGTTTACCACGACCCCATCCATCATGGTTTCAAAGCAGTAAGTCAAAGAGCTCCCACCTTCCGTAGTTGGGGTGCTCTTAGCGTCAGATGTTTCAGAAACAGGCTCATCCGATCCATCATCGACTGGTATCTGAAGGGGATAGCCTGGAAAACATTCAAATACTTAGAACAAGTCCTTGGCTCTGAATTACGGCCCATGAGTTATGAACTCTGATTGCCCAGATCCTCAGCGGCAAGAAACTGTAATTGGAGATTATGAAACATCTGAACTAATCATAAGCAAGCAAAGCGTGAAAAAGCCAACCAAAAGCACCAGTGTCATCACCAAAAGGAACAAGCAGAAACCCATCAGCAAAAGAAAAGCCCAGTGAACTGGACAGCTGGAAACAGCAAAGCATGGTACAAGCAGGAAAGGAGATCTTAGCAACGTAAGCAGAAAAGATGGACAACTTCGGAGTCACTGGTGTCCTCTCTGCCATTTCTGGGGCCATCGGCCTCCCTCCCAGAGCGGGCACTTCCACGATGCGTTAACTCTAACCATCGCAAACCAGCAGGTCTTTGTGAAGGGCTCAGCATAACGCGCTGGGTGAAGGCTTGGTTGCAAAAGTCATCTTTTAGAAGAGCAGGGCAAGAGGCACAAGTCTCCTCTCTGCAAGGAGTCTGGGCAAATAAAATAATGAAAGCTGGGGAAAATGACTCAGAAAAGAAGATTCAAACTAACACAAGTAAAATCCCTAGGAACCCGTGATGTGCGAAGCCGAGGCTACAAGCCGAGAGGAGCTATCAGACTGAAATGCGTTACAGAACCCGGGATGGATGGATGCAATGGATTGTCTCCAGGCTGGAGACAACTCATTTATCTGGTGTAAGCTGTGTCCAAAGCACTTCAAGAAAAGAAAATTAAGATGACGTTTACATGAAGCATAGCCGGGAGTGAGTACCACCAGGTTTGCTGGCGTTACGTGGGTTTCCAAGCTCAATCGTGGAGCACGGTGGAATGAGAAAGGAAAGGCTTCTTGAGAAATGCAGCTCTGAAACATGGGGCGAAAGAAGCTCGCACGGCCACCGCCCCCAGATCTCTCTATTCAGTACCTCCCATCTCCCTTGTGCAGGTGAGGAAAGCAGGCAGCAAGCAGCATTCTTGAGCTGTGTCTCCAAATAAAAGCAGTGCTCTAAGTTTATAGCAAACCGAGGAGGGAACACAGAAACACACGCTTGCAAAGCCGCGGCAATAAGATCACCACTAGTCTGGGTACTAGGGGTTATTCCGCCCTTGCTGGGCAACAATATCAAAAGAGCAGCATTATCCTACAACTACAAACACCAGAGCACCTTCTGGGTGCAGCCACCTGCTCCACAATCACCGGCCACACACACAGACCCTCTCCTCCCGGCCGACCCCAAGGACCCCTCGCACTGCTCTCCCCACTGGGGCCATTCTCTCGCCGGCAGGCAAGGCAGGTCCTTTCCACCAGCCCCTCCTGGAGGTGCTCACCTGATGGGATGTGCTTCTCCTGGCCAGTGGCGTGATCCTCCATCATGGTGACGTCCTGACGCTGCTCTGCCGTCCGTCAGCAAAGTGACCTAAAAGGAGAGCAAAAGCAAACACCCATCAGGCAAAACCTGACACAAGGTGCCTTCGCCTGGAGCCCAGTTCTGCGCCCCCACCTACTGCCCCAAGAGACAATTTGGGGAGTTTGGTCCTCAGGAGCCGCCACGTAGCAAGATGGTCGGCGTCTCTGAAAAACACTCGGCTGTTTCTTCGTGCTCCAGCAGGTCGGGGGGAGCGGGGCAGCCGTCATCAGCCTTTGCTGAATCACAGCTCACGGCTGCTGTGCCAGGCTTGCAGACGCTAAATGCTCCGTTCAGAGGAAAAGTGGAAGATCTTTGGCTGCGTCGGATGGTGTCCACAGAGCCAGGAGACGAGCCTCCGGCGGGGTATGCGAGCTCTCTAGCTGTCAAGCTGGGAGTCCTCGCTGGATGGTGTCCCAGGAAGATTTTGTCCAGGGGCAAGAAAAGACTAAAAGTATCTTTCCAGGGAGATTGGGGGAGATGCTAATTACTCTTCTCCAAAAAACAGGTGGGAGGAAGAGAGAAAAGGAGGCAGAGTAAGGGAAGAGCAAGCCTCATTTAAATCTAACACAGCAGATTTGTGAGTGGTTTGCCTCTGGGTTTGCAGTTGGAAAGATTTTAGTATCTGTAGATGTTGAGTGAAACGAGCTGTGAGGACTGTCAGGGAGCACCAGCTGTGAGCGGGGTAGGAACTGCCTCTCCCATCCATGTTTTCCTACCAGCAGCCAGGGCAGTGTGTGGGGAAAGTTGCTTTTGGGACAGAGAGGTCACTCCTTTAGACACACGAACACGAGAGCAGCACAATGTCAGCTGCTTCTGTGGCCTGTGCACTAGGCTCACATTGTATTTTAGGATTTCAGTGCTAAGAAGACCTGTAAATAATATCAAGTGGCAGCCAGATGAGGCCAGGATATAATCAATATCATCCTCTGAGCTCTGGCAGGAGGGCAGGCACATGTCCAAATAATTAGGGCCCATCATTTTGGGGGTAAAAATTAGGTACTTAATTCTTTCCTATTTTATACCTCCATTTTCATGGGTGATTTCCTCTCAGGATAAGTTCTCGAATGTACTCGGTACAGTTCTCCCAACTGGCTTTGTAGCTGTCCAAGGCAGAAATTAAATTGCATCGTCATCTCGCTAAGGCTTAAAAAAAAGCTGGGCAAGAGATCTGGTTACCAGCACTGGAGTCCCTCTTGCGTAGTTCCACATACCCAGTGAATTTATTGCCAGCAAACAAAACCACGAGTTTGCTTCCTTGACGCTGGTAACCCGAGCTCCATCGCTGGATTCTTTCTCCCCTGATGGTCATGGCAAACGTGTGGTTACACTAATAGCCAGTTATCAATCGGTGCCTGTCGTTACATCAGCTATTAGGAAGTCGACTACAAGCGACACGGAGCCGCTCGCAGCCGGGCAGAGACAGCCCCTGTTCCCACAGAGCTCCTCGCACGGCAGCATTCACCTGAAGGAGGATGTAGCCACTCCTTTTTCAGAGACAGGAGCGAAAGAGCTGCCTCTCCTGTCCCAAGGGAAAAAACACGACTGAAAGCCACAAAGATCCATCAACAAAACCCCACTCAATGGGACCTGAAGTGTGGCTGCGGTTTACGAAATGCCCCAAACGCTCACTCGTTTGTTGAGGGCTGACACCCAGTTTGCTCCAGAGAGGAAAAAAAAAAACAAAACAAAAAAACCCCTTCAAATTGGCACAGGCCGAGGGGCAGGGAGGGGATCCAGCTCCCACAACACCTCGCTTTTAGCTGAAGCAATGCCCGCTCAGCAGATGCCGTTCGGACCAGCGCAGCTCGGGAAGCGTTCCCTACAGCGCGTCTGCCGGTGCCGAGATTTAAACCCGTTACAATAGGGCTGGTGAAATTTCACCAGCACCAGATAAGCAAATAAATAACATGAAGTGCACAAAGCGATTCGACGGGTAAGTACGAGCAAGCCGGCACCACACCATTATCTCAAAGCTGCAAAGCTCTCCCAGCAGGATTTGAAATACGCGGTCCTGCTCACCGGGAACATCACCTATAAAGACATTGTATGCCTCGCCAAGGGATGCTGAATTTCCTTTGCTCCCTTTCTTTTTCATCCACTGTAAATGTCAGCTAAAAGGATTGCTCACTCAAAACCACACCGATGCTGGGGACAGATCTGTTGTGTTAAAACCAAGAAGCAAAATGGAATTGTCCGTGTTCAAACCCCGTCTTATTCGAGTCTCAGGTTATTCTAGTATCTTCTTATTCTAGTCTCACTTTGCTTCACTTGTGTAATAAATTCTTGTGACCAAAAAGAATTTAAACCTTATTAAACCTGCATGTTTTAGAACAGACTTCTTAAACAAAGATGGTCTGAAAATTGCACATTTGAGAAACTACTTTGAATTTTCAAAGACATGCCTATAACGATTATCTTCGGTTTTCTTTCTGAGTGGGGGAAGGGGAAATCCCTCTTGGGGAAAAACGTAACATCAAGGGGAAGAAATATTCTCAAAACTGTAAAACCAGCCCCACCTTGAAGCAATGGTTGGGTAATGAATAATTACAGCAAGGAGAGCTATACTGAGATAAACTTCGGCAGCACCCTCTGCGTGACAGATAAAGCACAAACCCTCCTAAGAATCTTATCCTTTTCCAGCAGAACTATTCTTGTTAACCAGGGACACTATCTAAAAAGCAACAGCCTATCCCATAATTAACCTCACATTTTGCAGACCCTCAGCCCGCCTTTCCAAGGGAGAGCGGGGAGGAAAGTTGTTTTTTTGTTGCCAGGAGCAGGAGAAACCGGCTGATTTCTGGCCGCGTAAGCTCAGCCCACCAGTACCTCTGGTGGTTGCTCTGCACGTGCAACCCAGTTAAAGCTCTGAACGTAAATCCAGTTTGTCCAGGAGGTGAGTTTAACCGGTGAGAGCCCGGCCAGCTCCTGCCACCGCACGCTATTGCTTTGCCCATCGCACCAGACGCGGGCTGGCACGCAGCCCACTTACCTCCAAGGCTCGGGGGCTGCTTTCCCAATCCCAAAGGATTACAGAACAAGAGTGGTCTGAGAGCTGAGCAGCACCAGTACCCACCCTCAGGCCAGTGTAAGCTGGAGAGGAGCAGATAGTGGGGTTTGCTGGAGGCACGTGGGTCCCTGCGTTGTACAAAATGTTAGGGGCTAAAAGCCAAAAGGGCAATTTACTCCCCCGAAGAACCCAAAGCGTGTAGAACCACGTTAGTTTCCAGCAAGGAAAATCCTTCAGTGAAACGATGCAAACCTTTACCAGCCATCGACAGCGCTGAAGTTTAGGTCAGGAAGTGAAAGCTCAAAGTCAGCTCAAGATCCACAAGACATCTAACGAGGAAAAAGAAATATATCCTTTTCCTTGTGGAGTTTGGCAAGGATAAGGGAAGTGGCATCACTCCTCTCGCAGGACGTTGGGGAGACCTGACAGTAAAGTCCATCA